TGACCGAGGCTCCCGTGCCCTCTTCCTCAGCATGCTGCTCATGCGGACCAGTTCCTCCGTGAGGGCCGAGTACTGTGTTTGCTTTCACATGGGTAACGAGAACTACATGATTCATCATGGAAATTTCTCTTTTTTCTTTGCCTGCCAGGAAACTGAGCACCAAACTTCTATCTCCAATGTTACTAAACACAGAGAACCACGTGGTTGAATCTTAGTTCAATTTTTTTCTCTAATTTTACTTTTCTACTTTAATTTAAAAATTTCCCAATACTCACTCTTTATCTGGTGACTTTTTCTATCTTGCTCTACATATTATTCAAGGCCAATGATCCATATAAAAATGGAGGTCTACACACACACACACACACACATACACTGTGTGTGCATAAATATCCACAGGTATAATTGGCAACTAGAAAGAATACAATTTTAGTAGTATGTTTTCACAAGAAGTGGCCCTCATATGTAACAGAAGTTAAACTGGTCATAGTGCGTGATTCATCATAGAGAATTATTTGAATGAGTTAAATAAATCTCTGTGAGCTGTCTACAAACATACAGAAATAGCCATATTTAACGGCACTTTCTGAAATATTATTTTGCCTAAGGCAGTATTCAGAGTTCTTGGAATCTAATTTCTTTTCTAAGCGGCCTACTTCTTAAAAATTTCAGACAGGTGGCAATCTTCTAAAATTCAGACTCCAGTGAAGTAGAATGGGGTACATTTGAAGACCATGTAGTCAAAAGATCTAGGAGAATCCCCATGAGATGACATACAGGAAAATGTTCAGTAAAACGGCAGAGTATAATATGTCACTGTTATTGCTACTGCCCATATATAAAGACTCAGGACAAACTGCATTTCTGATCATAACTGTGGAAAGGCAGAAAATAAATATGGCAGAGATACACAAGTGCTTGTTGGTGCTCTGCTTCTCAGTGCCACGGTTGGAGCCCAGCTCCCACTCCTGCTGCATCCCAACACCCCTTGAGTAATGGAAATGTTGTTCTCAGCTGATCTGTTTGTCAGGAGGGCCAGCTCTACTTGTGGACCTGGGCCTCCTGCTGGCCCGGAGACCCTTACTGGACTGCACCGAGCGACAGTGTGCTCAGAACTCTTCAGGGATGGAAGGCTGTGGTCTCGGGAGCACGGAACTCAGCAGCTCATCTTCAGAGTCTTTGTATGAAATAAGTTAAGGCCTCAGAGATGAGAAGTCTTCTCCAGGAAGCACAGGCTTGCTTCCCCGCCTTTCTGGCAATTCAATACAAATGAGCTACCCACTAGTAATCCAGGAAGCACAGAACGAAGACCCCGGCCACGATGAGGGGTTGGACACGGCGTGGCAGCACCAGCTCGGCACCCACTGCCCTGCTGCTTGAACGCTAAGTCACTGGGCAGAGAAGGAGGCACAGAGGGTTCCATTCCGGTAGTCTGAAATGTCACCGAGAGCTTCAGGCTTCAGGAGCCAGTGTTGCCGGACACTTCCCACAAACTCTCATCTACTGCTCTTCCTATGAAGATTTCCCTTTAACAAAAACACTTCTCCTAGAGTTTAGGCTTTAGTGAAAGCTTTTCTTCTATAGGTATCCAGATCAAATTAGAAGAAAAATTAAATAAGTAGTGGCCTCATTTGCGGAATGGCAGTTGAAATCCTCTTCTCCAAAGCTGAAGGTAGACCTAGGTCAAGATTTTAGCATCTGAGTCTTTTCGAAGTTCTGAGAGGAGTTCAAAAGTTGAAAAAAGAAGGCGAAATACAAAGCCATGAACAGGTCAGAGGAAAAATTGCCGCTCTGGCGTTCAGTGCTGCCAGTGACTGGAAGCTTCCTGAGAGCAGCGATGAGAACCCTTCAGAGGCCGAGTGCTCAGACTGCACCCCATGCCCTCACTCACCCCAAAGTGCCGACGCTGCCTCTGCCCTGCACTTGCGGGGCCCCTGGCCTGCAGCAGTGAAGCCCATCTCCTCCCAGCCCTCCGTGGCCAGCAGAACCCTGCAAACAAGGTGAGCGTGCACAGCAGCTCTGCCGAGCTGTGATTCAGACAGGCATGGAATCCGGCCTCACCAGCATTTGGCCCAGACCTTCAAACCCCACTCTGCAAGCATAGGTGAGCGCCTTTTAGAGTGGCTTCTACCGGGAAGGGAACAAACAGGATCTCACTCCAAATGCGTGTGCTGTAAGCCATCAAAACGCAACACAGCTTCTGTGGGACAGCGGCAAGGTGCCCAGTGTCTCCATCACTGAGCAGAGTTTAATGCTGAGAACTGTGCCCAGCACCTCTTCTGCATGACGCCATTTACAATCTCAATCATTCTGCAGCTACTGTTGACCCCAGCCACAGAAGAGTAGCCCAGGCTCTTGAGATCATAGACAGTTAAGGGCAGAGCCAGGCACAGAAGCCAGGCTTCTGGTTCCTAATTCAATGCTTTTCCCTTTATTTTTTCCTTTTTTACTTCCAGTGTCAGGGATTGAACCCAGTGCCTTCACACCATATCCTCCACCATTTATTTTTTATTTTGAGACAGGGTCTTGCTAAGCCACTAGGTCGCCCAGGCTGGGCTCCAACTTGCAATCCTCCTGCCTCAGCCTCCCAGAGTGCTAGGATCACAGGCAGGCACCACCATGCCCGGCTTCAGTATCTTTACCAACATCTGGCTGGTTGAGTGACAGGCTGGGGCCACGTGTGTGAATGGACCATCTTTGATTTATACTTCAGAGAATCTGAGAGAGAGAGCTCTGCCTGCAGGCACTGACCCTCCCCAGCACAGCCTCATTTGCCCCTATGATGGCACCTGGCTATTTCCCAAACTCACCACAGACTTCCGGACCACTGCCCCGCTTTCCAGTTAGGTGCAACATGCTTTCCTTTCCATTCTTCTCCACCTCCTCCTCTGCTGATCAAAACTTAACTTCCAGTCCCTGGAGCCCAGGTTCAGGCCTCCACTCCCAGTCCTTGAGTCCCCATCCGCCCACACAAGCCCTTGGCATTCCGGCCAGCGGTGCTGCCCACCACAGCGAAGGGTGGGCTTCACGACCACACTGAAACGCCTGCGTCACACCAAGAACACAGCAGGTGCCCAGTAAATGCTTCCCGCAGCGCTCTACAGGGAAACTCAGGTAGGACTACAACCTTCACATCCAAGAGAGCCGGGTTCCCAGGGGGCCGCGGAGCACTTCTGCTCCTTGCTTTCTCAGGGTTCTGCAGACACCATCGCCACTCCCAGGAAGGTAATGGGGCCGTTCTTCTGTTTAGGAGCCAGTGGTTTAAGTGGTGTAGGCCACGGACCAGTGATTTGCAATGATGGGCTGATCGAAAGACAATCACACTCAGAGCCGCTAAGGTTAATGGCGTTGCCTCTTCTAGAGGAAACATAAAGTGAGATGGGAAGAGGCCACTGCGGGTGCCCACACCCCCACCTTTAATGGTATACAGAGCAGAGCCCACTTAATGAACAGCAGCTAAGGAAAACATCTCAAAAGAGAGTGATTTTCAGAGAAACCTTTTCTCTGCAGGCCCTGTTTATAGAGTAAGCGTTTTAAATAAATACAGGGTACAGAAAGAAATTAAACTGGTAACTGTGGTGATTCACTGTGGTTCGTGTAACTTTCATCAGGCCATGGAAACAAACAAATCATTTAACCAAAGGTGGCCCTTCTGGCGACCATGCCACACGTCAGGGTCTGAGGGAGCCTCCTCACCGGTCCAGGCACAGCCAGACCCGCACAGCCCAGATGTGCCCAGGCACTGGCCTCCGACCAGAGGGCAGGGACTCGAGGCAACCAAAAACGCACCGGAGACGAGCGCATCAGAGCCCCAGTGCATTCAGGGCTCGTCTCCCTAGGAAAGTTCCTGCTGCAGGAGCGTGGACTCCTGAAGGCGTGGATCAGGGAGAGGGGTCGGAAACGCAGCCTCAGAGTCAGAAGCGAGAGCAGGGCTCAAAATGGGACCAGACCTTCTTTCTGCGCTCTTCAACGTGACTGTTGGGAATCTGACTTCATGCCACCAGACCTTTCTGACAAGAGCCTAAGAGAGCAGATATAACACTTCCTCTCAAGAACACCAAAATCAAACAAGCAGACCACTGTATTCCTCAGGCCACAGCAGCTAATGAGACAAACATGTCCAGACACTGTGGTCTCTGCCACGGAGCTGACCGACCCACAGAAGAAAGGAGAAGATGGGACACTGCGTCTTCTCCCAGGACCGCAGCTCAGGGCAACTGCCACACACAGCCAGCAGAGCTGTGCTACTTGCCGAGGGCTAAGCCTGCCGTGGGGGTCCGCAGAGGACATGGCCGGGAGCTGCAGGAGTGTGGACAAGGTCACGTGACCACGTCACACCAACAGCAGGGTCCCTCATGGGCAGAGAGAGTCCTTGCTCTGCGCTTAGAGCAGATGCTGCTGACAGGTGGGCTCCATGCTGAGGAAAGCACGGGGAACGGAAAAGAAAACCATCCTCCCCTACGGGTGTCCAGCCCACCCACCACTGCCTTTGCAGAAATGATGCAGTCTCACAAACACAGGTACCGTCAAAACTAAGATCACCTAGGCGTGGTGGTGCACACCTGTCTCTCTGCGCTTAGAGCAGATGCTGCTGACAGGTGGGCTCCATGCTGAGGAAAGCACGGGGAACGGAAAAGAAAACCATCCTCCCCTACGGGTGTCCAGCCCACCCACCACTGCCTTTGCAGAAATGATGCAGTCTCACAAACACAGGTACCGTCAAAACTAAGATCACCTAGGCGTGGTGGTGCACACCTGTCATCCCAGCACTCTGGAGGCTGAGGCAGGAGGATCACTGTGAGTTCAAGGCCAGGCTGGGCTACATAGTGAGATCCTGTCTCAAAAACAAATAAACAACAACAACAACAATGACAACAACACACACACACACACACAAGAACAGTTCATAAATTAAACAAACATCTGCATTCTATTAAAAAATTACAATGTTTTCAAACTTCTAAACAAATGACTTTTCAGTGAACTAACTTGTTGGCAAATTTGGAGAAGGATTTCAGTAGTCTCTCAAGCAACTGCATGAATTGGGTTTGTCTGATCTGTGGAGAAGCCACAGCAAGGCGAGCAGAGAGATCCTGCGGCAGCAGGGACGTCCAGGGCCGGCTTGTGGTGCCTGGAGCACTTGGCTCTGCTCCTCCGGCTCTGTAGTCCTGTGACAGGCGCTGGGCCAGGCTCAGGCACACGGCAGTGTTGGTAAGGAGATGCTGCAGGGTGGGCGAAAGACTTATGGCGAACAGCAAGAAGCCGGAGAAGAGAACAGCGAAGTCACAAAGACATAGTAATGTGCTTCTCCCAGAAGGGACCCCACGGGCACCCTGCCGTCCTGGCCTGCGGGACCCCTGGGCCTCCGTGTCCCTCTTGGGCTGGAATTCGACTGCGACTGGAGCTCGGCGCCCAGCCTTGCCAGGCCCTCAGCAGTGAGGTCACTGGGCCATCCCGGCCTTTCCCTCAAAGCCCACATAAGAGAGCCTGCCTGGGCCTGAGCTTGGAGCATGGACTGTGACAACTTAGAAACTCATCCTCAAAGCCTCTTCACGCTCATGCATCGCAGCCTGCTCTAACAGCTCTACAAATGCAAATGCAAACACCCTCCACCAGAGAACCTTGAGCCCCGCGCCTAGGGGCAGTGAGATTACATGAAGTCCTCTTAACTGTATTACTTTCCGTCCACATCCACTAAATCGAATTAGCGTAAAGTGGGGAAGCCTAGCTTTGAAAGGTGGCTGCCAAAGAAGTCACATTCTAATTTCATTTCCGCCTCAGCTGCGGATGTCTTGTGGCTGCGTCCCCAGGACACACAGCAGAGGCAGTGTGGAGGCTGCGGAGGGGGCTCAGCGGCTGCTCTCGCCCTGCAGGACACACGCTCCCAGCTCAGTATGCTGTGCACCGATTTGGAAAATATCTCAAGGGTGCATTCCTTATTAAGAAAGGAGATTTCCAAAAATGCAAATTTACAACACTCAAGAAAATGAGAGACCTGAAACTCCCACGCATTTCGAACTCACCATGACCCAGGAGAGGCTCAGGGAAGACAGCGCTGTCCGGGTAGCAAGGACCACGCTCACCTCACCACGAAGGTGGCTGTGTCCCCACGACCCATGTGCCCCGCCCAGCCCTCACTGGAGGCCGCCACACTCACAGCTCTGCGTGTGCACGGCGTGGAAAGGAGACAGCGTGGGAGCGCAGGAGGGGTCTGCACTCCGCTCCACCCGGCACTGCAGGCACAAGGCACAGCAGCCCGCAGGCTTCCGTGTCCTCAGTGTGGACGGGTGCGGGCCGACGCCGAGGGACAGCAAGGCCCAGGTCACACGTGGGAGCACATTACACCTCCAGGTTTCCATCGGGTGCCTCGATGCTCTGGTGCCAATGACTCGCTCCCTGTTGCCCCCCCCCACCCGAGCCCAGCTGCTCGCCCTCACAGGGTGCACGCCGGTGGGCACACGGCCTGCCTCTGATTGTGTCTGCCTCTGCCTGCCCAGAGAGCAGCACGCATGCTCGCAAACACAGCATGGAGGACGGCAAATCTGAGCTGCTCTATCTGGCTCCATTCCAAAACTTCAAACCCTTTTGAAGATGGGACCCACTGTCCATCCACTTGATCCCGGGCCTGCTCTGTTCTCCCCAAGTCCCACTCACCCCAATATACCCATTCACTCCCCTGCCCTGAGCGCCGGGTGCCGGCTAGAGCAAACCACAAACCCGTGTCTGCCTCGAGGAGTGGGCAGTGCTCTCCTCCACAGACTGGAGCACCCAATGAAACGCTGGAACCTCCTTACAGATTCATTTTGCATCCTCTGCAAAATAACAAAGAGTTAATTTTGGACTGGGGTGTAGCTCATTGGTGGGGCGCTTGCCGAGCACAGGTGACCCCAGGGGCCAGCCTGGCCCATGCCCTCTCCCCCCTCGGCACCTGTGTCCCCAGCCTGCTCGTGTCCCGGGGGAGGTGGATTCCGCACCCCTCTCACCGGCCTCACAGTGGCATGTGTGACGTGGTTCCCCTTCCGTTTGCTGTTCTATTAGAGGAGCGGAGGGATTCTCCAGCGTGAGCTGAGTAACTCTCCCCGCTGCCACCTGAACTGTGTCTCTCTGTGCACTGCGGTATGTGCGTACCGAGACACTGTCACATGACACAGCACATGACCATGGATGTCGCTGCGCCTGTGCCTTCCCGGACAGGGCCTTTCCACCTTCCCTGGGTGGGGGATGAGGCACAGGAAATACCCTGAAACCGTACTGACGGGGATGATGACTGCGGCCGTGCGCGCAGCATTCCCAGCCTCTGACAGCCCCCCTCCCTGTCACCCTGCGTCTTTCCTAGTGGCCGAGGGCGATGAGGTGGCCCTCATCCTGTCTGCTGTCCTCTCCTTGGAACTCAATGACGTGGAGTTCCAGGGTCTCCACAGCGTCCCGATGGCAGCCTCCTTGCCTTGCAGCTTGAAGTCCACATGGAAAGAGCTCTGAGGCACCAGCGTCCTATGTTTGAGTCCTCCCTGGCCTTCCAAGGAGGGCACTGACCTCACTGCCTGCTTCGGGCTCCAAGGCCCACAGCGCCTGGAAGAGCGCAGGACAGGGCCGCCCTCGGGGGCCTCTGCCCGCCTGGCCCATGGCTGCGGGGACCTAGGGGCTGAAACCGCGGCCTGGGCAGCAGCTTCTGCCTCTCCTTGGCACCCACATGATGATTTCCTCTCGTGGTGTCTGTTTCTCAAAGTGTGAGCTGCCATCTCTACCCAGTAAGGAGGCTCCTGTCCTCTGGTTGCTTCCCAGTGAATCCAACTTGGACGTCTGGCATTGCTGCTCCTGTGAGAACCTGTGCACTCAGCACAGAATCCACGCTGCAGCCTGGGCCGCTCTCCAGAGCAGGACATGCAGCCTTTCTTTGCAGAAGGGCTCCTCTGGCTCCCTCCCACCAGCCCTGGGCTAAGGTCCCCTGTGCTGCCCTGAGGGGCCCATCTGCAAACCCAAGACCAAGCAGCCACGAATACCAGGCTGTGCAGCTGGCCCCGGACTGCGGGAGCCCGAACAACCATTCCACCCTCAAGGGTCACTTCTAGTTCAAAGCACAGAGGCACAATAATCAGAAAGCTCAGCTTTGGTAGCATTTGCCATTTAAAAAGATAAAGCTCTCCATGGAGTTAACACGATCTGTGTGTGGGACAGGCCCGGAGTCAGATATCCTAATGAGCCGTGTCTTGCTCTCTTGAAATGGAGAATTAACCGATTCTTCTAAATAATTCAGAAATCTAAAATTTCTACTGCATTGCACAAAAAGTGGGGAATGGGGATAAACATTTTATGTTTTCAATAAAATGACATTCCCACATCTTCTGCAACTCAAATGCTTTCACGTTTACTGGCAACTGTAATTGTTTTATGCCAACAAACGTGCTGGGGCCAGATGCTACGACTCACCTCATTTCATTACTCCACCTGCAGCAGGAAAATCAAGGAGAAATTTAGCCCACTGCCCAAAACATCTACTGTGATCACCCCCTGTGATCAGTGACGTTATCACAGATGAACCACGGCTGGGGTATAACTGCCTATGTGACCCTCAGGGGAGTGTGTGGAGCACTAGGCCTGGCTTAGATCAAGAACGGATGTTTACTTACTTATTTAGGTATTTCACACAGGGTCTCACTCCATAGTTGAGGCTGGCCTTGAACTCACTATGTAGCCTCAAACTCCCAGTGATCCACCTGCCTCAGCCTCCCAAGGGCTGGGATTACAGGCCTACACCATCATGCCCATTTGGATACTTTTTAAAATACATCCTATGCATTATCTAAAACTTACTCATTATTTTTATTTCAAATTTGAATTTAACTTGTCATCCTAAATCTTCATCTGCTAAGTCTAGCAACTATTAAGCAAAAGGAACCTTCACTGTGGATGGGTTTGAGATCTAGCGGGTCACAAGTGAACGGCGTCCTGAAATAAACACGGAGCCCAAGTCCACCCAACAACCTTGGTTATGGAAAGGGATCGCTCGCAAGAGCGGGCACCGGAGCCACTGGAGGCAACTCAGCTCTCTGTGGTGCCCATGTGCCCAGGGGCAGGCTGTCCAGTCCTGCTCCATCTTCCCTCTACACGTCCACCACAGTTGGATGCAGGCGGCGGGTCCTTGGTAAGTCCGTGTGGAACTGCTCATTGGAAACTGAGGCACAAGGCTCTGAGGGACCAGGACAACTGCCCCACCCCGCAGACGCTCGTGCTGGTGTTTAACGGCAACTCTCCCGTGCTAGTCCAACCCCCTCGGAAGCTGTGATTTGGCTTCTCCTTGTTCATCTCCGAGTTTACAGGTGCTGCTTGCTGAGAAGCGCTTTGGTTCCAAAATACCCGCAGAGATCTGAGCAAAGCCCGCCTCCACCGTGGGGAGAGCTGGAGGCTCTTCCTCTTTCCTAGGCCTGCCGCAGTGTCCTTTTCACTTCATTCTTTTGGGTCTTTGCCACATAATGCCTGTGGATAAGGCATATGAGACTCCCTGGTCCCCTCTGGGTTAAAATCAACCAAGTACAGAAACGAAGCAGGGAGCCAGCAGAGGCCTCTGCAGGGTGCCCGCCCACACCGATGGGCCTTCCTGTCCCCACGGATGTCCTTAATGACAAGCTCACGCTGGGGGACAGGGTTGGCAGGAGCGGGAAGAACCTGAACAGACAAGCGAAGATGCCGCAGGGTGACAAGGTGCCAGAAGTCCTGTGGCCATGTGAGTTTTTCCAGCAGACAACAGTCGATCTGGATCGGTGACTCCAAATCCCCAAATACATTATTTATATTCTATTCACTTTACTAACATCATCCACAAATGGAAGAATCCTTCCAAAAACAACAGACAAATTTAAAAACAACAAACTCGTGCTCAGGTGTCAACTCAGGAATGACCGATCTGTAGCAAGCAAGGCCTAAACCCGTTCCAGGCTCAGCCTGGCCCGGACACTCCTCCTGCCCATCTGTAACCGATGGGCGGTATGGGAAAGTGGCCGTCGGGAGCGGTCTTTCCAAGGCCTCTCCATTAAAGGGTCCCAGCACCCCGGGCCAGGCTTCCATCCCAGAACAACGGAGCAGCTGCAGACCGGGCACCGGCACCACCAGGCGCGCCTTCCACCGCCCTGAGACCTGACTTGTCGACCGCTCCTCCTCTGATGTCTTTCCCAAGCCCGCTTCCAATACCGCACGAACTGTATCACCGCCTATTTTCAGAATGCAGTTCTGTGGACAATTTGTAAATTACAAACAGACACTTAAAAATACTTCTCTACTTGGAACAGTCCAACGGCCATCCCTGACCATCCTGGGGTCTGAGTCAGGCCACAAATGAACCAGAAGACCAGAAAGGCTCTTTTCTCTTCTCCCCTCTGTAGTTACTTGTAAGTGAGGCTCACCACCAGTTGTTTCAGAGTTGGAAAGTCAGGGGAACAGGGTCTGAAGCAGTTCCTACTTTGGCTACTGGCCAAACTCAGGTCTGTGCAGCCGGCCAGCCTGTGTGCAGACAGTAAAGTGCGGGAGGGTGAGACTACTTCCTGGAAACCACTGCGCACCCCACACTGGCTGCTGTGGCTGCTCAGCTCACCCCATGAGCCCCTCACTCGGTGCCACTCTGGGCCACAGCAGTCACAACACTGCAGAGAGCAGAATTCGCCTCACTGCACTTGGGCTCCCCGGTCTCTGAGAGCAGAACTGGCCCCACCACACTGCTAAAAATTCATCAGTCAGAATTTAATTACACAGAGCTGGGAACCAGAGGCATTTAGGTTTAATGTCTCCCCGAGTTGGGACTGTTACATATTTTAGAATATTGATCACTACTGTTATTGCTGCTATTTTGGTGGTCACTCCACTGTGTCTGTCCCTGCAGGGTTTTTGAAAGAACACTGCAGAGAATAACTGTTGCTAGGTAATTGTAAAAGAAAGTTATGCAAATTATGAAATATTGATAGATTGTATTTACAAGTCAATGGTGCCGGGATGCCCTGCTTGCCAATAAATGCAGACTGGAAGGCTGCAAGGCCTTCAGATTCTTAAAGCGATCCCTAAACGACACACTCCTCAAAACAATACAAAACTGGCCCACCAGTAGTGACAACTCTTGCAGTTTGGAATTATCAGTTTTACTTTGCTGGCCCACTATGTGTTAATTTTCAATATAACCTTGCAGTAAATCTACCCTATAATATTGCAGTTTGTCTACTATAGTAAAAGCAATTTAAAACATTAACCAGAGGGTCTTTAATTTGCATTATCAGATAAAAGAATATTTATCTAAACGGGAAATAGAAACTTATACTTATCTCAACCCCAAATAACAAAGTGAATCCTTCAATAAATCTTAAGGCAGGAAGTTAATAGCCTTGGGAGACCTTCTGCAAACATTAAAATATACAAGATATGCACAGAAATAAGTGATAACTAATGAAATGTGGACAGTTATGGTGGACAATAAATACATCCCTTGTCTATCCAGCAAGATTAGACCTTGATGTCTATGGTTTGAGATGGGAAAGACATAAATCAAGGCGGTGGCCATGAAATCCAGACCCAGCCAATCTTCTGGGCTGACTTTCAGAGCGCGAGGTCGTGCTGGACACAGACTCTGGGGCAGGCATGGTGATGAGCAGCTTTTCACTGACAGCCGGAGTGTGTGAGGGCTGACGTCACCAGCACGTGGGCCGCAGCAGTCAGTGAGCAGGGACAAACGTGGCAAAGCCGAAAGGAAGTCACGGAAGTCCCCATGTGGGCTTCTTGTCATGAATGTCGGTCTATGGAAGCCACAAGATGAGGTTATTATGGGATATGCAGGTGATGAGAGACAGGAAACAGGGAAGAACGTGAACTCAGTGTTCTCTTTCTGCTGAGGAAACCTCACATTTTCTTTTCTCTACAGGGGGCTTCTGCAGATGCCAGCCTGATGCCTGGCTCTGGACGCTCATAGGCCCTGTGGACACCTAGCGGCCCTCCAAGGAGACCCTTGGAATGCTCTGCTTAGCAAGCAACCGTAGCTCTACTCCAGGGACTTGCACAGTTGGAATGGAAGGATGTGCAAAGTCCAAGTCCAACAGGTGAGGCTTAAAACCTGGAGCTCTCGAAAAGCTGGAGCTGAGGCTGCCGCACTAGGTGTAAGGCTGAGGGTTCCTGTCGTGGCTGGAAACTCATCTGAGCTGCATTCCCTGCAGTAATCAAGCGTGTGCCTGCACACGGGCAGAACAGCACCACCGCCTACAGCCCACGCTGCCCTGGTCCTGCCTGTGCTTCTCAGCCCCGTATCGGTGCATGGCCTTTTCTTGTCCTCAGAGTAAAGCTCAGCTCCTCCAGACTGTGGTTTCTTAGTTCAAAAACCTTTTGGTAACTCAACAGTGAGTGGACACTCAACAACAGTGCGTATACAACAGCACGTTCATCTGCGAAACAGCTTTATTCATGAAGCAAATAAGCACCAGGTGCTTTCCAAGTTCAAGGCAGAGCTAGCTGCTGTGCAAGATTATTTTACAAGGGACTTGCCGTGAATCTTACCCTTAATCAGCCTGCCTTTTATTTATTTATTATTATTATTTTTGTTTGTTTGTTTGTTTTTTGAGACAGGGTCTCACTATGTAGTTCAGACTGACCTGGAACTCACTGTGTAGCCCAGGCTGGCCTCAAACTCATAGCGATCCTCCTGCCTCAGCCTCCCGAGTGCTGGGATTACAGGCGTGCGCCACCACGCCCGGCCAGCCTGCCTTTTAATAAACCAGATTCCACTTGGTTTGCACCCAGGAAATTCATATTAAGGACTCCTAGGTGGAGCCCTTTCTACCACTTCTTCCTTCCCGAGCACACACTCTGGAGTCTGCCACGACTCTGCCCTCTGTAGTCTGCTGGTCCTCGGGCTCAGGGCAAGGGACAGACCGGAGGACGGCACTGAACAGAGAAGCAGATGCAGCACTGTGGGGATTTAAGGGAGAAACTTCTGTCTGGCACCTCAGAGCAGAGGAGGAATCTACCACAAGTGTCTCTAAAAGCCTTGGCTTATTTCTGACGCCACCCCTGCCCTACCAAGGCCCCTGGCTTCAGGCCACATGAACATATATGCTCCTTACATTTCGAACAAGTCTTACTGGAGCAAGCACGGCTACCCTGAGTCCGTAATTATGTGACCTCCTGTGCACCTTGACATGCAGGGGCTGGGTTCTTTAGCAGCCGCCCACTTTACTCACAAATAACCAAGGCTGGGGTAGCAGCTCAGTCACCTGTCTGCTCTTTAACTTGATTACAGGTCTATTTGACTCCAGAGGCAGTTTTTAACCATTAAATTATACTAATTTTGAGTTTTAAACAATCTGGTATTTTACCGCTTATCTTCAGATAATTCCTTCAAAACTCCATCAAATGCTCTAAATGGACCAAGACTTGTTTTCTTTTACAGTTGAGTCTTAAGGGACTACAATAAAGAAAGCAAATATTACACACACACACACACACACACACACACACACACACACACAAAAAGACTCATTGGCCAGGGAAGAAACAGCTGCATCCACTTTAGGTGAAGTCCCATGGCCCGGTTTATGGTTTTGGGCAAAACAGCATGTTACTGTTTGTCTGTTCATTCTCCATGGTTTACTAGGGAAATACCATTTGCTTCCCATCCTTTCTCAAGAGCTAAGATAAAAAGTACAGCATTTTCCCTCACATGTGTGTAGTCACAGGGAAAGAGTAGTGAGTCCCCACTCCTTCTGATGGGCAGAGTCTGGGTTCTCGGCCACCCACAGCTTCACAGAGCTCTGCTGAAACACCAAGAGAGCTGTTCTTACAGACAAAACAAAACAGACACCTTTCAGGAGCTGGTTTTCATAAGCTGGGCCAGGAAGAAGAGGGCACAGACACTTGGCCAAAGCTACACCAGAGAGAAGTCACCGAACAGGTGCAAACGCCACCCCACGTCGCATGGTCTCCTGCCAGGACAGCTGTCTTTATGGGAGAGACGGTCTCCCCAGTAACTTCATCTGCAGTGCACGAAGGGCAGACCGAAGACACGGAGAGCCGTGGCGACTCTTCCACTGGGGTAGCCAAAGACAAAGCAGCATCTACTTCTTTTTCTTTGGAATGAATAAGAACTGAAAGGTGGGAATGTGTTGCTTTAGATGCTGGATATGAACACTTCACTCTTTTGAACTCACACGTTCTCCCCAAATTGGAACTGTGACTACTTCAGGAGGCACCAGGTAAGCCTGGATTAAAAGCAAGCCTGGTGAGGCCTTGCTATGCTGGTGGCAGAGCCTGCAGGCTCCATGCTGGCTGCTTTCTGTTTTGTTTTTGGTACCAGGGATTGAACTCTGGTCCTTGCACTTGCAAGGCAGGCCACCTAACCGCTGAGCTAAATCCCCAGCCCCTGGCTGCTTTCTGGAAGGGAAACGCACAGGCCGGACTGCCGGCAGCTCCAGAAAGCCATGCCAGGCCCGTGCTGCCATTTACATCTTCAGGGCAGAGCTCAAGGCCGCTGCAAAGAGTCAGATGAAGACGGCCACCTCAAGGGCCAGACCTTATGGCAAGCTACATGGCCTACAGGGAAAAGACTCTCATAAGCTAAGACAGGTGTCTGGAATATATCTTTGAGGAGACAGTGTGCAAGTACAGTATATGAAACATTTACGTACCATCCATAAGTCAAGTGGAAAATAAAGAATAAAACCAGTCTATAAATATCACTCTTTAAAATGCCAACAAAAAATAGTACATAGCTGTTTATGACACTAAAAACAAACCTTTAGGTTCCGTGTCCCCTTGAAGCTACTTAAAAAGAAAAAAGCAACTTGGCTATAGAAAATATCACCAAAATATCAGGATGAGGAGAGGAATAGTCAGACAGTTCACATTTCATGCCAGAGCCCGTCAAAAGCAGTTTCCAGGCCAAGGGATGAAACAGATTCTGAAGTGATCGGACAGCCACAGCGGTCAGCTCAACCCACTCTCCCGACACACTCCCACGGTTCTGTCTTTCTGGAAAGATCGGCTGGGGAGCGAAACGGAAACGCAAACAGAACAAAAGACTGACCTAGGCCGAGGTCAACAGGACAGGCGACAAACACAGTAAGGCAGACAAGAGAAACAGTAATGCCAAGCCTCTGCCGGTAGTTCTCCCCCAACTCCATGAAATATAGTAGGTGAGCATATTGTCCATATTATGTTTCTTAATTCTGCCACAGTACACAGTCCTCAATTTCAGAGAAAAGAAGCAATACCCCGAGAGGTCAGATGTCCCACTGTCTGTGGGAGGTGTGAAACGACACCCAAAGCGGGGTGTTTCAGAATTACAAGGCGAGGTCTGAACGCACCTCTCAGTAACAACATCTAAACACAGCGGGGACATGTGTGTACTTCACGGTCCTGCTTTCTCTGAACTGAAGGTTCTGAGCCATCTAAAATTCCAACACATCACAGTCTTCCCACACTTGGAGTGCATTCCACAGATTTAGCATTTTGCAAGGTGCTATTCTATTCACACGTAAATGTACACTCTACTTTAATAACATTTCTACAACACAAAGTCTATATATTTATGCACTCGAGGAATTTAATATCCTCCTATAACCTGTTTCATTTTAGATGATTTTAATGTGACACTCCTTCCAAGGTAGAGACTGCTGGTTAAAAGCAATTAGCAAAGGGCTGAGCTCCTAAGAGTCATCAGAGATGCCTGTCCAGGGAGGATCCTGAGTCTCCAGTGCTTCTGCCACTTTAAAAGGAACGGAAATTACCGGGCAAGGCCCTGTTCTGCTTCCCGCTGCGGAGAATCTGGTTGGTAAACCAAGCCCACCTCTCAGTCAGTCAGGGAGCCAGCTCTTGGGACTTTGGGCCTCACAGCGTTTCATGGAGGCTCTGGGCAGAGTAACCCCGTGCTTCCTCGTGAGTCCTGGGGGTGCCCCCTGCAGGCACCCACACAGCAGGCCCTGAAATCCTCCAACGCAGCAGCTAGAGTCCCACACTGAACTCACCATTTTCTGGCTGGTCCTTGATGTCAGCGTCACTTGGCTGGCTGGGACTTTCAGATTGACTCGAGTCTGCAAAACATAAAAACACCACCAGAAGTTACAGGGTCTGTGGGGGAAGTGGGTCCGAGGTGCCAGCTTACTCAAAAGGCTCGGCCCATAAACGGAGGCCATTAGAGCGACAGCGAGACGGACACAGAAGAGGGCCGAGGCGGGGCTGTGCCCGAGGCCCCTCAGCTTTGCTGCACCTCCAGGGGTTCTGCTTTGTACCAGGCCGGAACTCGAAGCTCTCCTGGACCACTCTTCCCGAGTGATCATCTCTAAACTGCTCTTCCCCATCATTTATACCTTGGAGCCTGATATAGACCTCATCCTTGGTTACACACACCTGAAGCTTGATTCAGAACATAATCAAGTGTTCAAACACACTTTGGAGCTGGTATATGAAAGCCACCCAGACAAGCCATCCACGCTGCTGGCATTCAGCTCTGCACTTGGCAAGTCTGTAGACGGTGCCCTTGTACCCTGAGACCCAGCACACTGCTTGGAGCAGCCAAGCACCGGAGGAGGACCAAGTATCCGCATGGGCACCGCCCAGAGCCCACACGTGGGAGAGCAGAAGAGGGTGAGTCAGCACAGGCAGGTTCCGGCAGGCATTTCTAGAACCAAATTCATTTCTTCTGTTAAAAACACAAGCAGACCTCTGACCAAAAAAAAAAAAAAAAA